ACACCCGCCTAAGCTCTCACCTCAACGACAACAACCTCCTCGGTCCCCTACAGTCTGGCTTCCGTCCCCTACACTTCACCGAAACTGCCTTACTCAAACTCTCCAACGACCTGCTAACCGCCAAAGCTAATGGCCACTATTCAGTGCTCCTACTCCTTGACCTCTCCGCTGCCTTCGACACAGTCGACCACCCCCTCCTCCTCAAAAAACTACACTCCCTCGGCCTCAGAGATTCTGCTCTCTCCTGGCTCTCATCCTAACTATCACAACGCGCTTTCAGCGTTACCTATAATGCTACCACCTCCCCCTCACTCCCCCTCTCTGTTGGGCTCACTCAAGGCTCCGTCCTCGGGCCCCTTCTCTTCTCCATCTACACCTCCTCCCTTGGCCAACTCATACACTCTCATGGCTTCAACTACCACCTATATGCCGACGACACACAAATCTATCTCTCAACCCCCCACCTCACCCCCTCAGTCTCCGCCTGAATCACACACCTACTGAGCGACATATCAGACTATCAGACTGGATGTCGCTCCACTTCCTTAAACTGAACCTCTCCAAAACCGAGTTTCTTGTCTTCCCCCCAGCCTGGACACCACCCCCCATTGACTTCTCCATCATGTCCAACAACGCCACCATCAAACCCGCCCCGCTGGCCAGAGTACTTGGTGTCATTCTGGACTCCAACCTATCCTTCCAGCCCCAAGTCCAATCTTTAACAAACTCATGCAGACTCCACCTCTGCAACATCGCCAAAATACGCCCGTTCCTAACCCCAGAAACCACTAAACAGCTCATCCACTCCCTCATTATATCACGACTCGATTACTGCAACTCCCTCCTCACTGGCCTGCCTCACCGCTGGCTATCCCCACTTCAGTTGATCCTGAATATGGCTGCCACACTCATTCACCTTTCCAACCGCTCCGTTTACGCCACCCCCCTCTGCCAATCCCTCCACTGGCTTCCGATTGCGCAAAGGATCAAATTCAAAATCCTAACACTGACGTACAAAGCTGTCCACCATACTGCCCCGAATGACATCACCGACCTAATATCCAAGTACCACACAACACGCACACTCCGCTCCTCACAAGACCTCCTTCTCTCTAGTTCCCTGGTCTCCTCCTCCCATGCCCGCCTCCAGGACTTCTCCAGGGTGTCACCCATCCTCTGGAACTCCCTGCCCCAACCCATCAGATTATCACCTACTCTCCTCTCCTTTAGGCGTACCCTAAAAACCTACCTCTTCAGGGAAGCCTACCCCACCCCCTACTAACATGCCGACCTCCTCCACTCTTCCTACCACTCCATCCCCCACAGCTTTCTCCTCCTGTGCCACCATCCCCTCCCTCCTAGATTGTAAGCTCGAAAGAGCAGGGCCCTCGATCCCCTCATGTTTTGCATTGTATTGTTATTGTTCTGTCCCCCATTGTAATGTACAGCGCTGAGCAAACTATTGGCACTTTATAAATACTGTATATTAATAAATAATAACAATATTGCAACTGTAAAAAGTCCTTGTAACGCTCACTCTAATCCTTTGTGTTTTCCATATACTAATCCTTTCTATAACTCTGTAGAAAGAGTGGAAGTCTGGCACCAATGCAACTTGAGATAAAATCATGTAACCTTTACTAGCAATATGTCAAGACATAAGAGAATCCATTATGCAGCAAGATTAACGCATTTCAGCCCCAAGCTTTGGGCCCTAGTTTTTACTATGATGTCAGTGAGCTGGTTAAGACTCTGGAGAGATCCCAACTTTAAAGTCGGGATCCACCCAGATGCCTGGACCAGTAGCTGACTGAGCTGCTGAGAGCTTTAACCAGCCACTCCCATCCCCTCCACAGCCCAGTGCTCCAGTGAGCATTGGAGGGGCAGAGCATAGGGCCGGAGACTGACAGTCACCAGTGGTCTACTCACTGAAGAATGAAAACCAAGTGAACAGCGGCCTTTGATCGCTCGGTTTTTGGTCTTAGAGATGGAAGGGGAAAGATGCAGCATCAAACCTGCATCTACCTAGGTGAGTATGTATGCTTGTTTTTTTTATTTTCCAAACTTTTCTTTTAACCCTCCGTGTAACTCTAAAACATACTGTAACCCTAATACAAACCCAAATACAAACCCTCCTTGTACACTAACACAAACTCTCACTTTAAGTCGCTCTGTCCCCCTAACCCTAACACTCACTGTAACCCTACCAGCAATGCTCACACTAACTGTGACTGTAACACTAACCCTCCTTATAGCTCTAACTTTCCCAGCAACCTTAACACTAACCCCACACTAATCCTTCCTGTAACTCTAACTCTAACCTTCACACTGACTCCCAATCTAACCCTCTACCCTCACACTTACTGTCTTGAATGTAAAGTTAACCCTTTGTTTGTATGCACACCTCTCTTGCACCAGGATTACACCATAGGCTAACTTTTCTTTGCTGAATTTACTGGAGCCAGAATCTTCTGTTTCATGTTGCCACCACTACTACTAGTAAAAATAACAGTAGTGACAATGTATTTCTAAGACATAATGAAACAAAGGTGTGTGGTGCTAGTTTATAACATACATTGATAATTGTTTTCGAACAACTACCAGGGTATTTGGACTAGATGACTTTTTGCTTTCTGCCAGTTTTGACAACCTAAAAAAAAGTTGCTTTTTAGTCAAGAAGAATATCTGTGGTAATGAGTATACTCATTCTAAATCAATTACAGAATTTAATCTCTTAAACAGGCACTGGTAGCCAATCAGCTTCTAACGTCAGCTTGTTAAATTAAGCTTTAGCAATAAAACCTGTAAACTGATTGGTTTCTATGCAGGAGTGCATATGATTCTGAGTAAACCAGCTTTAGTAAATGAACCCCTGTGTGTACTATGTGGTTGAATTGTATATCTAAATGGTTGAAGTAACTTACCATATTGAGGATATTGTATACATGTATACTGACATATTCATTTAAAATATGCTGTAATATTATAGATCTTCCCCCTATATCTCCTGACTCCTGGTTTACACTAGTGTGGACCATGCAGTCCGCGTTTGCTCGGGCATGGCAACCCATTCATTTGAATGGACTGCTGTGCTGGGTGGACCGCAAAAAAAACCTGTACCTTTTCCAAATGCATTCACAGGGAAACCGCACGGTCTTTTTGACCATGGGGTTTCTGTGCGGTTCCCACACCCGCGATCGCACTTCTGGATGAGATGTGTGGGGGTGCCATTCAGAATGAATGGTGCCCCCGAACATCTCGTCTGAAGCAGATCTATGTGAAACATACTGAGAAAGCGACCCTTTCCCACTGCATGATACAGCTGACTGTTTTAGGGAACCCATGTTTTGGAACTTAGAAATGTGTATATCTAGTTAAACAGTGGGCAATACAGGGCACATACAGTACAGTGTGGAAATTTTAGGCAGGTGTGAAGTAATGCTGTAAAGTTAGAATGCTTTAAAAAAAAAATATTTAATTGTTTATTTTTTATCAATTTACAAAATGTGAAGTACGCAAACAAAAGAAAAATCTAAATCAAATGGATAATTGGTGTGACTATTCTTTGGCTTCAAACCAGCATTAATTCTTACACTTGCACACATTGTACAATTGCACAAAGTCAGGGATTTGGTAGGATTAGAGTCAAGTGTATGATTAACCAATTATACCAAGCAGGTTCAAGATCATCTATTTTATATGCAGGTTGAAACACAGTCATTAACTGAAACAGAAACAGCTGTGTTGGAGGCTTAAAACTAGGATAGCCTCTGCTACTAAGGTGAGGTTGTTAAAGACAGTTTTATGTCATAGGTCATATATCATGGTAAGAGAGAGTGCAATAGCAAGACACAAGGATACTGCATCAGCAAGGTTTCTCCCAGGCACAGATTTTAAAGTACTGGAAACACCAATAAACAGGAGGGCACACCGACCTAATACATTACTACAATAACAATATATTTATAAATATAAAAGGTATTCTACTCACAAATGCATGACAAGCATTGGCATATAAAAAGATGCAGATGAGATCGCCGCCGGGTCCAAGGTACTCAGCCAGTGGTGTGGGAAGCCCTCATAACATCCAAAGGCTTATGTGTTTCAAAGGTTGAGCCCTCTTCTTTAAAGCCAAACAGCTCTTTAGCTCTGAATAAGAGGGCTTGAACCTCGAAACATGTAAGCCTTAAGATGTTATGAGGGTTTCCCCCACCACTCGCTGAGCAACGTGGACCTGGGGGCGGTTGTTGTCTGCATCCTTTTATATTCTAATGCTTGTCATGTGTTTGTGAGTAGAATACCTTTTATATTTATAAATAAATTGTAATGCTTTAGGCCGGTGCTCCCTCTGTTTATTCTGTTTCCAGTGTTTGCAAGGATGCCCAAAGTCCTGCGAGGGCATCAAAACCTCTGACACCATACCTACTAGACAGGCAAAACGCATTATATGTTCTTAGCACCACACCTAAGGAGGCTATTACTACTTTTTTTCTATAGATTTCAAAGCAGACTGGGGTTTCAAGATGTGCTGTGCAAGCTCTTTTGAAGAAGCACAAAGATAGGGTAACATTGAGGATCATAGGCACAGTGGTTGGCTAAGAAAACTTAATGCAGCAGATAAAAGACACATCATGCTTACTTCATTTTGTCATTGGCAGATGTCCAGCAATGCCATCAGCACAGAACTAGCATAAACTAGTGGGACCCAGGTACACTCATCTGCTGTCTGGAAAATTCTGGACAGAAGTGATTTTTATGGAAGAATTGTGGCCAAAAAAGCCATACCTCTGATGTGGAAACAAGGCTAAGCGACTCAACCATGCATGAAAATATAGGAACTGGGATGCAACTGGGATGCAAAAAAATGGCAGCAGGTGCTCTAGACTGTCAAAATTTTAAATACAGTATATTACCAAAAGTATTGGGACTCCCCTCCAGATTGGATTCAGATGTTACAATCACCTCCATGGCCACAGGTGTATAAAATCAAGCCCTTAGGCATGCAATCGCCTTCTACAAACATTTGTGAAAGAATGGATCACTCTCAGGAGCTCAGTGAATTCAAGTGTGATTCCGTGATAGGTTGCCACCTTTGTATTAAGTCCATCTGTGAAATTTCCTTGCTACTAAATATTCCACGGTCAACTGTTAGTGGTATTATAACAAAGTGGAAGCAACTGGGAACAACAGCAACTCAGCCATGAAGTGAAAGGCCACATAAAATGACAGAGTGGGGTCAGCACATGGTGAAATGCACAGTGCTCAGAAGTCGCCAACTGTCTGCAGAGTCAATAGCTAAAAACCTCCAAACTTTGTGTGGCCTTCAAATTAGCACAACAACAGTACGTTGAGAGCTTCATGGAATGGGTTTCCATGACCAAGCAGCTGAATCCAAGCCTTACATCACCAAGTGCAATGCAAAGCGTTGGATGCAGTGGTGTAAAGCATGCCGTTACTGGACTCTAGAGCAGTGGAGACATGTTCTCTGGAGTGATGAATCATGCTTCTCTGTCTGGCAATCTGATGGACATGTCTGGGTTTGGCAGTTGCCAGGAGAACGGTACTTGTCTGACTGCATTGTGCTAAGTGTAAAGTTGGGTGGAGGGGGGATTATAGTGTGGGGTTGTTTTTCAGGGGTTGGGTTTTGCCCCTTAGTTCCAGTGAAGGCATCAGCATACCAAGACATTTTGGACAATGTCATGCTCCTAACGTTGTGGGAGCAGTTTGGGGATGGCCCCTTCCTGTTCCAACATGACTGTGCACCAGTGCACAAAGCAAGGTCCATAACGAATGCATGAGCGAGTTTGAGTGCAGGAACTTGACTGCCCTGACCTCAACCTGATAGAACACCTTTGGGATTAATTAGAGCGGAGACTACGAGCCAGGTCTTCTCATCCGACATCCGACAGTGTCTGACCTCACAAATGCACTTCTGGAAGAATGGTCAAACATTCCCATAGACACACTCCTAAACCTTATGGGCAGTCTTCCCAGAAGAGTTGAAGCTGTTATAGCTGCAAAGGGTGGGCTAACTCAATATTGAACCCGACAGACTAAGACTGGGATGCCATTAAAGTTCATGTGCGTGTAAAGACAGGCGTTCCGATACTTTTGGTGATATAGTGTATATGGCTATAACAGGAAGCAGTTTGTTTGCCAAAGAACTGCAGAGTGTCTGCAGGCAACAGTGAAGAATAGGGTTAGGTTCCTTGCAAGTTTGGGGCTGAAATGTGGTAAATAAAGCTGGAGATTCTTTCAGGATCAATGGTGTTCTAAATGCAGAGAATACAGGCAGACATTTATCCATTATGCCATACCATCAGGGAGAAGTGTGATTGACCCCAAATTTATTCTGCAGCAGGACAATGACCCCAAACATACAGCCAATTCCATTAAGAACTATCTTCAGCATAAAGAAGATGTGAATGTTTGGCCCCCACAGAGCCCTGATCTCAATATCATCTTGTTTTTCTAGGATTACATGAAGAAACAGAAGGATTTGAGGCAGCCTACGTCCACAGACGATCTGTGATTGAATGCAAAGGGCTCTCAAACCAAATATTGATTTGATTTGGATTTCTCTTCTCTTCATTTACTTTTCATTTTGTTAATTGATAAAAATAAACTATTAACACTTCTATTTCTGAAAGCATTCTTAATTTACAGCATTTTTTCACACCTGCCTAAAAATTTTGCACAGCAGTGTATATGGAGATGTATCAGTAGTGTATAAATATGCATATTTGTACTGTTGCCAATGTTTCTAAGTTGCTTACATCACGATTTTAAATTACGTTAATAAGATCCTGTTTTTAAATTATACATGCTGTTTTGTAATCTTATGGCACCTCAAAACTCCCCATGAATTCTGTAATTGTTTGGATTTTGTATTTTACTTTGGGATAAAGTAGGGACTTTTTTATTTATTCAGGAAAGAATTCATAAATTCAAGAATTCTGTCGAACAGTCCTGCCGGAAAACCAGCATTTGATAAGCACATGCAGCCAATAGCTGCAGTGCTGATCTGTATATTCTGATAGGGGGCATCAGAATTCTGATTCCAATAAGACACTAAGATCTAGAACATGGGGACATGGACATCAAATTAGCAGGAGGAAAGTTTAGTACTAATCTTGAGAAGTGTTATTTTACAGTAGTTGATGTTTGGAATAGACTTCCAGCAGAGGTAGTGAGTCAATCAACAACAAGTAAATTCAGAAATGCTTGGGGCAAATAAATCTATACTCAAGACTTGGTCATGAATAAGGCAAGTTCAGCAGCACCCATCAGTGAAGAAGAAGTTCAGAAGAAAGAAATTAAAAAACCTAGTGGTGACTAAATACCACCAAAATAAATAAGGCTAGTTTGGCTGAAACACATTGACATTGTGGATGTCATTTGTTACCCACCAATAAACACAAGATTGCAGAGTATACACCGGAGTGTCCACTTTTCTTTGCTTATATGGGTAGACTGTTTCCAGATAGTGGGGATACAAGCACCAGCTGCATTTACCAAATGAATCAGAACAGGGTTTTTATATCTGCTAAGTGGCAAGGTATTGTGGTGAAATAGAAAAAAAAAACGTGCAATTTGGTCACAGAGTGATCAGTACACTTTTGTATGATTGTTTGGATTTTGATCCAGAAACTATTACGTTTTTGGCAGGACCAAAAAATGTGAACAATATCACTGATACCGTGACCACATTTCTAGCAGGAAGTAGACATGTTTGGAAAGATTTTATGGAGCATCTGGTGTATCAGGTAGCATTGTGTAGAAAGCGTGTATCAAGATTCCTGATATTTAATGTTAATAGAGGATTTACTGTCTAGGGAAAGGTTCGATTTTCTTTCCATTACGGTATGAGTAAGGTTGAGTTCCTTTTCCCAGCATTCTTAGAAAGAGTGGAATAGGTCATGTCCCCTTGCAGGGGTAATTAATAGGAGAAAGGAGCATGTGTCAAATTGATTCTGATTGTGAACATTTTCTTTCATAATGGGTAAGAGGGCGCTCAAATTGGCTTGCTGAAGTAAGTGAAGATAAGAATCGCTGGAGCTGCCTCTGTCTCCAAAGTCCCAAAGAGGCCAGAGTTAAAACAGAGGGAAGAGAATCCATAGAGATCCATTTATGATTGAGGATGAAAAGGTGAGCTCAACAGATATCTACCTCCATCAGGGTTTCAAAGAAAGGGTCATGAGTGCCTGGTGGAAAAGCATTATTTCTCACAATGGGGAATAGAGGAGACGGAGTCAGAGAAAAGTCCTTCTCGACAATAACTGACTTTATAGCATACAGGTAGCGCTGCACACTGTATTCAACTCTGGTGTGAAATAAATGAAAGACAAGCTTCAGCTCAAATGCCCATCCATCGGTCACACCCCTCTGACATGTTTCACCCACATTGGGCCTAATTGTAGACCTCTTTTAGAAAAGTTCTCTTTTAGAAGAAAAGAGCATCTTATTGTCAGTTAAATTTTTTACCATTTTTACAGCTGCACCAGGCTGTCATTAGGAATAACACACATGGAGCAACCTCCTCTAAAAATAGTAGAAAAAAGCATCGCAAAAAAGGTGCTCAAGGTTTAAAGATAATTTACTGAAACTACCCTAAAAAATAGTAGAAAAAAAAGCATCGCAAAAAACTTTATTGTCTAGGGTCAACAGAGCTGATTACACAGTAGCTTTAAAGATCAGATAAGAAACTATCTGCATTGCTGTTGACTGAAAGCAGAATCTTGCAAGTACATTGCTGACACGGAGCTGAAATAATAAAGTGTCACCACAAAAAAGAATTACCTTGAATGCTTTTTTTCATCTACAGTAGCTCTATAACTTTATTGTATAACATAAATAACAACCTGAACTCTTTACAGCTGAGTCTATCATTGTATTGATCGCTATATAGATTACAAATCTAATATTGAAAAGCATGTGTAATGCAAAATTCACAGCTGAAATGTACAGCACGTGCAGGGGTGCCACGCTCTGAAAATATTATATGGAAACTCTGGAGGCCGCCGAGGGCCCGGGGCAGTAGGGGGCCCCATGAGATGCCCCTGGTACTTTTTTCATAGGCTTTTTGGGGATTTGGGCAGGACACAGGGGCCCCATGATCCCCTATTGCCCAGGGGCCCCATGAGTTGTCAGTCCGCCCCTGAGCACGTGCATAATATAATTGCCACTTGCCAACTGCGCTATAGCCGAAAGACAGGTACAGCAGAGTCTAGTTCTGGATGGGTTTTCTATAGATGTCCTACCAGAACTCTGCCCCCCTGTGTGCCCCTGGGGCATGCATCGGGCTCGCTTTGTGATCGCTGTCGCCTATGGACACAGCTGATCACAGAGAATCGAGGTAAAGGGTCAAATCACAGCAACCCTTTACCATGTGATCAGCTGTATCTAATCACAGCTGATCACATGTAAACAAATGCCAATAAATATCCCGCCCTGATTGGGTGCCACGCTCTATTAATTGTGCGCATTAAAATAATAATACCTAGTGCCCGTGTATAGGTGGAGCAAACATATAGGAGATCCCTAATAATCTCTCTAAATTTTCACCGTGAATGTGCATAAATACACCTTGTGCTAATAATTTAATAAAATAAATGAATCTAGATATAATTACAAATAAAAATAAAAATAATTACAATATTTGTATTTAATATTTTAATAATTTGTAATTCATTTTTTTTGTAATTATATCTAGATTCATTTATTTTATAAAATTATTGGCACAAGGTGTATTTATGCACATTCACGGTGAAAATTTAGAGAGATTAATATATGTTTGATATATTATTATTTTAAACAATTAATAGAGCGTGGCACCCAATCTATTTAGTGCTATTTTGTTGATGCACATCACGTGAGGGTGAGCAAGGAAGCCTGCAACATATTATATTGTTTATATATACACATATATATGTACCCTTCTGTGGCTCACAAGTAAATTTTACACAAGTAATGTAAACAAATGCCAGTTATCTGATTTTCCTTTCCTCAGTGCTGTCACTCTGTGAGGAAAGGAAAGCCGATAACCAACAATCCTGCGACAGTACACATTTACATTGATAATCAGGGCACTGATCATCAGTGCAGCCCCATCAGTGCCCATCAGTGCAGCCTATTAGTGTCCATCAGTGCAGCATATCAGTTCCCATCAGTGCAGCTTCATCAGCGTCCATCAGTGAAGAAGAAAAATTAATTATTTGCAAAATTGTGTAACAGAAACTAAGAAAATCATTTTAGTCTTCAAAATTATCAGTCTTTTTTTTTGTTTGTTTAGCAAAAATTAAAAAAAAAAAACCTAGTGGTGAGTAAATACCATCAAAAGAAATCTCTATCTGTCTCAAAAAATTACTAAAAATTTCATTTGAGTACATTGTTGCATGACCGTACAATTGTCATTCATGTGTGACAGTGCTGAAAGTTACAAATTAGCCTGGGCAGGAAGAGGGTGAAAGTGCCCAGTATTGAAGTAATTAATTTACACTCTCCATAAACTTTATTAGGTGTACCTTGCTTGTATCGGGTTGGAGCCCCTTTTACTTTCAGAACTGCCTTCATTTTTCGTGACATAGATCCAACAAGGTGTTGGAAACATTCCACAAAGATTTTGGTCCATATTGACATGATAGTATCATGCAGTTGCTGTAGATTTTTCGGCTGCACATCTATGATGCGAATCTCCCGTTTCACCACATCCCAAAGGTGCTCTATTGAATTGAGATCTGGTGACTGTGGAGGCCATTGGAGTACAGTGAACTCATTGCCATGTTCAAGAAACCAATTTGAGATCATTTTAGCTTTGTGACATGGTGCTTTATCCCGCTGGAAGTAGCCATCAGAAGATGGGTACACTCCAGGGGCGGACTGACAACTCATGGGGCCCCCGGGCAATAGGGGATCATGGGGCCCCTGTGTCCTTGCCCAAACTCATAAAAAGCCTATGAAAAAGGTACTAGGGGCATCTTATGGGGCCCCTACTGACCCCCTGGCCCTCGGGCAGTGCCCGAGTTTCCAAATGGTCAGTCCGCCCCTGGTACACTCTAGTCAAAATGGACATAATCAGCAACAAGACTCAGGTAGGCCGTGGGGTTTAAACGATGCTCAATTGGTACTAAGATGCCCAAAGTGTGCCAAGAAAATATTCCCCCAAACCATTATACCACCGCCACCAGCCTGAACAGTTGATACAAGGCAGGATGGATCTATGCTTTCAGGTTGTTTATGCCAAATTCTGACCCTACCATCTGAATGTCGCAGCTAAAATCAAGACTCATCAGACCAGGCAATGTATTTCCAATCTTCTATTGTCCAATTTTGGTGTGCCTGTGCAAATTGTAGCCTCCATTTCTTGTTCTTAGATGACAGGAGTGGCACTAGGTGTGGTCATCTACTGCTGTAGCCCATCTGCTTCAAGGTTCGATGTGTTGTGTGCTCAGTGATGGCATTCTGCATACCTTGGTTGTAACGAGTGGTTATTTGAGTTACTGTTGCCATTCTATCATCTCCAACCATTCTGCCCATTTTGCAGTTTTTTAAATACTAGCCCGTCTGGCACCAACAACCATGCCACGCTCAAATTCACTGAAATTCCCTTTCATCCCATTCTGATGCTTGGTTTGAACTTCAGCAAATCGTCTTCAGCACATCAAAATGCATTGAGTTGCTGCCATGTGATTGGCTGATTAGCAATTTGTGTTACAAAGCAATTGAAAAGGTGTACCTAATAAAGAGGCCGATATGTGTATGATCTCACATGCATTGTTTCATGTATATCCTTGTTCCTTTCAATCAGTAATATAAAATTATTGCAAAACTAATGTCTCTAAAATGCTACCTTTTATTTAATACCAACTCCAAACAAATATAAAACACACAAAAATGAATGCAGTTCTGTGTTAATTAATACATCATTAGTATTTTTCAATGCAATCAGTGTAAGTCCCTGAATTTGACTTTGTTTCAGCCTCTTTACCCTAGCAATCTCCCATACAGCAGTGCTCAGAGGAGGAGGAAAGAAACAGCAAACACAGAGCCAATATATGTGTTGCAGTGCTTATATGTTAAAGCCTAACTCCATGTTTACTGTGCCTTTAACTCCTTGGCGCTAACAGTACGCAAATATGAGGCCTCTGGGCATAGACGCTAAGAGGCCGCATTTTGCGTACCCAATGTAAACAAACATGTTCTGAGAGCACGCTCCTGGCACATTTACTGGCGCCTTACAGAAAGGTCCCAGTTTCTATATGCAATCGGAAGCTTCCCGATCATGTGACCACAGTGACAGCCAATCACAGCTCTCACATGACCCTAAACCCCACCACGCCTCCCAGCATCAAAAACCCATAAAGGGCCATGATGCTCCGGCCGCAAGGGGTTAAAGAGTGTGTTTGGGCAAAGCTGGCACAAATGAACCATTCCCTTAACTAACAGATGTGCTGCTGGAATGCTATATAAACTGTATGTAGTATCATCTACAGTACACCTCCTGTCCTGCTTTCAAAACACAATAGGCTATACTTCTCCTTTACCTGAATTTTGTGCAATGACTAGTTTCAGTGCACTTGATGGTTGTGATATTCATACACTGGCTTGTAATGCAAAAATAACATTTGTCTAGAACAGAGGAGTAACTAAAACCTTCAGAGCCCTAGTGCAAAAAATTATGATGTGCCCTCGTGATCCCCCTTTCCCCCGAGCCTGGGGCCCTTTACTCCCATTGTGGAGCTACAGTGGGAATCGAAAGTTTGGACACCCCAGCTAAAAATTTGTAATAATGTGCATAAAGAAGCCAAGGAAAGATGGAAAAATCTCCAAAAGGCATCAAATTACAGATTAGACATTCTTATAATATGTCAACAAAAGTTAGATTTTATTTCCATCATTTACACTTTCAAAATAACAGAAAACAAAAAAATGGCGTCTGCAAAAGTTTGGGCACCCTACAGAATTTATAGCATGCACTGCCCCCTTTGCAAAGCTGAGACCTGCCAGTGTCATGGATTGTTCTCAATCATCGTCTGGGAAGACCAGGTGATGTCAATCTCAAAGGTTTTAAATGCCCAGACTCATCTGACCTTGCCCCAACAATCAGCACCATGGGTTCTTCTAAGCAGTTGTCTAGAAAACCGAAACTGAAAATAGTTGACGCTCACAAAGAAATGTAATTAAGAAATGGCAGTCATCAGGAACAGTGGAAGTTAAAGCAAGATCTGAAAGACCAAGAAAAATATCAGACAGAACAGCTCGCAGGATTGTGAGAAAAACAATTCAAAACCCACGTTTGACTGCACGATCCCTCCAGAAAGATCTGGCAGACACTGGAGTTGTGGTCACACTATTCCACTATAAAGAGATACTTGTACAAATATGGTCTTCATGGAAGAGTCATCTGAAGAAAACCTCTTCTACGTCCTCACCACAAAAATCATCGTTTGAACTTTGCAAATGAACATATAGACAAGCCTGATGCATTTTGGAAACAAGTTCTGTGGACCGATGAGGTTAAAATTTAACTTTTTGGCCGGAATGAGCAAAGGTACGTTTGGAGAAGAAGGGGCACAGAATTTAATGAAAAGAACCTCTGTCCAACTGTTAAGCATGGGGTTGGATCAATCATGCTTTGGGGTTGTGTTGCAGCCAGTGGCACAGGGAACATCTCACAAGTAGAAGGAAAAATGGATTCAATAAAATTTCAGCAAATTTTGGATGGTAACTTGATGCCATCTGTGAAAAAGCTGAAGTTAAAGAGAGGATGGCTTCTACAAATGGATAATGATCCTAAACACACCTCGAAATCCACTGGGGGTTACATCAAGAGGCGTAAACTGAAGGTTTTGCCATGGCCTTCACAATCTCCTGACCTCAACATAATTGAAAATCTATGGATAGACCTTAAAAGAGCAGTGCGTGACAGACAGCCCAGAAATCTCAAAGAACTGGAAGACTTTTGTAAGGAAGAATGGGCAAAGATACCTCAAACAAGAATTGAAAGACTCTTGGCTGGCTACAAAAAGCGTTTACAAGCTGTGATACTTGCCAAAGGGGGCAGTACAAGATATTAACTCTGCAGGGTGCCCAAACTTTTGCAGACGCCATTTTTTTGTTTTCTGTTATTTTGAAAGTGTAAATTGATGGAAATAAAATCTAACTTTTGTTGACATATTATAAGAATGTCTAATCTGTAATTTGATGCCTTTTGGAGATTTTTCCATCTTTCCTTGGCTTCTTTATGCACATTAATACAAATTTTTAGCTGGGGTGCCCAAACTTTCGATTCCCACTGTATATATTATGGTTCTTAAACGGGACCCCTTTTACATGTTTTGCAATGGGCCCCCTTTCTGCTGTCTTTTCTTCAAGCCAAACCCAAACACTTTAGCGGTGCACTGCAATTATTTTTTGTGGTAACATTTATAATCATAAGATTTAATCACAAGAGTTCCCCCTTTACATCTGAATCCACAGAGTTCCCCTTTAGATTTGAATCCACAGACATTCCCCTGACATCTAAAGCTGCAATGATCCCCTTTACACTTGAATCCGCAGATTTCCCCTTTACATTTGAATCCACAGAGTTCCCCTTTACATCTGGATCTGCAGAGTTCCCCTTACATCTAAACACACAGAGTTCCATTGCAGTGTAAGGGAGGACTCTGCAGCCTCTGATGTAAGGGAGAGCTCTAGGGACTCTGATTTAAGGGAGAACACAGCACTCTGATGTACGGATGGAACTCTTATATATGGGGAAGGCTGCAGGTGGTGAAAAGGGAAACTCTAATATAAGGGGGTCTCTGGTAACCAGAGCCTTACACTTACATCAGAGTTCCCAGCATTTCCGTCAATCAGGATTCCCAGAACTCCCCTTACATCAAAGTCCAGAGAGTTCTCCCTTACATCAAAGTCAACAGAGTCCCCATACATCAGAGTCCGCAGAGTTCCCACTTAAATCAGAGTCTTCAGAGTTCCACCTTACATCTTAGTCCACAGAAGTTCCACTTACACTATAAGGGGGAGCTCTGTGGATGCTAATGTAAAGGGGAACTCTGATGTATGGGAAACTGGGGGGGGGGGGGGATGATGTAAGGGGGAATGCTGTGGACTTTTATTTAAATGAAACCCTGAGAACTCTGATGTACGGAGGGAACTCTGATGT